TTAAATTCATTTATTCTCTAGCATGTTCTATGGCTTAGTGAATTAGTGATATGGAAACTGGTGAACATGAATGCTTATTTCATTTGAGGCTTGTTGAGTTTTTTCTCAACAGTGTAAGTGACTAATGCCTCCTTTAATTTCTCTCGTATTTCTTTGTTAGTACTGTATTTGTCACTTCTCTAAACTGTCTTAAATACTCCTCTTACAAGGAGAAATAAGCCTTCCTATAACAGGGAAGAAGTTAAATATAAAATTAGAGCTGTCATAAAAATATGTTTGAAATGTAAACCATTCTTCATTACCCAAAGCTTTTATATTGGGGTGTTCAAGGTGGTCTTGTCTGTCCTACCATCTAACATTGCATTATTCAAGGTGATGAACAACAAACAGTCAAAACCAGAGTATAACCATGTCATTTCAAAGAAGGGCTTAGTTTGTACTTAAAATGGCACAGGATACTTCATAATACTATAGAAAAACATATATTTCTCAATACATGTGAAGTATGTCCCTCTAGTGGTGACTTCCAGAAGAAAATTCTATGGACACCTGACATATCAAAATGCCATCCATAAGAGAAAAATGATCATAGCTAAAGAGACAAGGAATGAATGAATGAATGACATTTCCTAGAAACTGAATTGTCTTTATGCCAATATTGTAGTGAACATCTAAAATCAAATTATTTTGGTATTCTTGAGAAGATACCTGGAAAGGTGTTGATCATGTTTTATTAGATACGAACATTCCATTTCAGAATACGGAGTCAATTTCCTCACTAATCCACTTGATGTCAGACATAGGAAGTTTAGGTAAACATGCACTTTATATTATGTAAAAACTGGGATTAATATTGTATCCATAATTCTGACAGGTCAAATTATATTATTAGCAGAATACATAGGTGATTAAAAGATAAGTGAAAGAAAACCGTTGCTTTATCTGAATTAAGGAGAAAATCATATATGGACAGAACATTTTATAAAACAAACGGTTACTTATCTTGAATTCTCCATTTGTCACTCAGTATCTCAGTTGCAAACAAGCGTGATACATTAGTGTTGCAGATAACAAATAGACTCATACATTGACACTAAGAGAATGCTCCAAGAAACAGCAAATTGTTTCTGTATTCTATTTTGATTCCACCTTTCTACTCAGTGATTCAAAATATTGCACATATTACTTCTCTATTCTTTCTTTCATTCTGTATCATGGATTTGATTGCAAAACAAAGATGGGCCCAAGGTCACTCTGAATTTTTATGTGAAAATGGAACTTGAAAGAGATTTCTCATTTTAACACTCTATTGCACTCTTTTAAGAATGCAATGTGGTTAATGTCAAAAGCTGATACATATACTTGTCTTAAATGTAATAATTTCAAAGGGGGTACACCATTACATTTTGTGGAATATAACTGATAAAAACCTGTGCCTAATAAAAATTATTAGTGTGCCACAGGAACCAATGTTGTTTTATTCTTAAATTTGTTGTAAGTTCCCTTTACTTTCTAGGAATGCTTAGAATTGAACAAGGTGGATAAAAATCAATTTTTTTAAAAAATCAAATTGATTTAAATCATGATTTAAATTTTTAAAAATATTTTTTATTTAGATTGTCAAGAAACCTGATTTTTTAAGTTTAAATCAAATACACCCTGAGATTGGGAGGATTATAATGTTCTATTGAAGAGGACTAGCATCCTAGTGTTAAATATTTGCTTCAGTTTATTTACCTGTGATAGTGTTTCACTGGTAAATAAACTGATTTTGTTTCACTGAAAAAGCAGAATTTGGAAAAGTTATATTTTTGAATTTGCAAGACTCAGAATATCCCAGCCAACAGGGTCCATGAGCAAGCTGGACAGATCTTATACTGATGCTTGTTTTGACTGTAAAACCTCTAATGTGTTGGAGAAGGATATCATAAAAATGGCCTCTTCCTGTGCAAATCTACATTATTCCTCTTTAATGCCTTTCCTTCATGTTCAGTATAATTCCTCTTTGCCTCTGGCATTCAGGTTGTGAAGCAGCATCCTCAAAGAGGAATACTTAGCCTCAGCATATCTTTTTTGATTTATTTTTATTGGATTTTTATCCCACCCATCTAGACCAAATGTCTACTCTGGGTGGCATTATAAATTTAAAAACAGCATTGGAGAGATAATCGAGCCCTGCGGAACCCACAATTGAGGCTCCACGGGGCTGAGAAACTCTCTCCAATCTGCACTCTCTGGGGACGCTCCTCCAAGAAGGAACCGAGCCAGGCAAGAGCCAGGCCACCGATTCCCCACTCAGAGAGCCTCCCCAGGAGAATACCGTGGTTGACGCTATCAATATCTGCTTTCAAAATGATAGTGAAGTGGATCCGCATCAAATTAGTTGGGCACTGAATGGGAGGAATTAGTTATCAGTTTTATAGAGTTTAATGGGAATTGAATTCTGCCAATCTAACGTGGAAAGCTAGTATAGCTCAAGGGTTGGGGTGCTTGGCAACAAAGCCAAGGGCTGGAATCCCCAGGGTGCTTCCCAAAGAGACCAGCCAAGATCATCCAGAGCAAGTGTGGCTGATGGAGTTGTGTGCCCTATCACTTGTATGGCATCGGGCAAGCTGCACAATCCCAGAACAGCGCTAGAAGGAGGGATTGGTAAACTACTTCTGACTGCTTTTTACTTAGAAAACCTTACGAGGAGTTGCTTCCAACATATGTTTTGTTGTTATGTGCTATCAAGTTGCTTCCAACATATTGTGGTCCTATGAAGGAGTGATCTCTAAAATGTCCACAGTAGCCCTGCTTAGTTCCTGTGGATTCAAGCCTGTGACTTCCTTTATAGAGTCAATCAGTTGCCATAAATTGGAAATGCCTTATAAGCAAATGATTGATTGATTGACTGACTGATTGATTGATTATGTGTTTGTAAGGCATTTCCAATTCATGGAAATTAATTGATTTAGTAACTAACTAGTTAATAAATTACAGTGGTGCCTCACATAGGGATGTTAATCCGTGCAGCAAAAATCGCTTCTAAGTGATTTCGTCGCTATGCGATTTTAAAAAGCCCGTAGAAACGTATTAAACCCTGTTTAATGTGTTCCTATGGGCAAAAAAACTAACCTTAAAGCGAAGATCCTCCATACGGCGGCCATTTTCGCTGCCTCTTAAGCGAGGAATCCGTGCGAAAACACAGCGGGCAGCCATTTTTTTACCTGGCAGCCATTTTGGAACCGCTGATCAGCTGTTAAAAAATCATTGCTTTGCGATGATCGGTAAGGGAAACAGGGAACTGATCATTGCAAAGCAAAAAAACCCATTTAAAACATCGCAATGTGATCGCTTTTGCGATCGCAAAAAGTTAATCGCTATGCGGTTTCGTCGCTAAACGGAGCACCCATTAAGCGAGGCACCACTGTATTAGCCTTTATTTGGAGCCAGTGTTATTCAAGCAAACTTTTAGCTTTCCCTATGATTGCATCTATAGAGTGTTGTTGTTGCTGCTGTTGTTTAAATCCAGTTACAATTATGTTGATTGGTTTTATTAAATATTATTTGTGTTATTTCTTATCTGTTTTTGAACATATTTTACACAGAAAGCTAGAATATAGATTAATAAGCTCAATGATGCTATTTCTTACTGTGCCTTGAGACTGATAACTGGGCTACAGCTTGAGGACTGTCGTCAGCTGAGAAGAATTTTGTTTATAACATGTCACGCTAATAGTTGGTATAACCTTGCCGTGTTGAAGCTAGTAAGTCTCAGGCAGAATCATTTCCTTCCTAGACACTTTAATTCAAGGTAGCTGAGTTGAATGTGACCCTGAAAGCATTCATTCCAGAAATGAGCTGTGGGTATCCCATTCTTGTTTATATAATTATTATCTAGAAACTAGCTTGATGACCATTTTATAGCAGTTGCTGGAAATATGTGGCCCTCCAAATCAGTGTTTGATAGGCACAAACCTAGTGTTGTCTGATTTGGGAAGCTAAACAGGGTTGGGGCTAGTTAGCATTTTGATGGGAGATCTTATTCTTCACCTTGTCAAGCCTACTGGGACATTGTTTGGGTCAACTTTTTTCTTCTAATCATTACAGCTCTGCAAGAACACCTTACCAAATTGCTGATTGCCAGTTGATGCTATTTGTAGCATCATATTATCTTTCTTCATATGATTAATGAGAATTGTCATTGTTAAGATGTAGTGATAGTTCAGGATTGCTAATAATTATTTTATCACTCATGAACAGCATGCTCATGCCTATAGGCCAGTGGCTCTTGCTTAGCTTTTCCCACAAATGGCAATGGCTAAGCTAACTGGGAACTGAAAAAGAAACACCAGATTTTGGGTTAGCTTAAACTGAGAGGCTGTAAACAACCATTACATGAGGTTTCTCACGTTCCTAAGTTGTAAATCAGAGTGTTTTTGTTTTTCATTTGATCATCCTGAGATAAACATAGCTTCTCTTTGCAGATTGGTTGTGCACACCAATGTTTGAAGACTACTTCATTATGTGTGCAGAAGCCACCTTCTCTTTCTGAGGTTTTGCATAGTTTGGCGCTGAGATTCTTGGTTTATTGCTCTACAACAGACCTGGGCCAAGGTATGGAACTGGTTTCTGTTCTTAGGAGAATGACAAGCCAGATTCCACCTTCTTCACTTGTTTCAAATTTGTTCAACTGCTCTTGTTGATGAGATGAGCCAAGTGGAGGTGATCTGGCAGTTGTATGAGCCCTAGAAAGGTTGTCAGATTTCTCGGCCACTTTTGCTTGTCTTTGTATTTTAATGCAGCTTCACTTGAACACATACATGCCCAGTATTTAAGAGCAGTAACATAATCTCTTGGAAAGCACTTGGAAGGTCAAGATATTATGCCTAGCTTCCTTGTGTTGAATGAAATGAAAAGTTCAGTGAAGTACAAGTTGTAGCAAATGAAACCTGAAAGAAATGTAATTTACAAGGAACAATTCTGACAACAATTCTTGTCTGTTTTTTCTTTTATAGGTGCCTCTTATACCATTTCTCTTGTGAAGGCTATTCAGTTCTGGAGACCTTTTTTAATCGAACACTCTACAAATTATTACCTCTGGACTCCCAGCTGACATCCTGCTGGAGGCTATAGCTACTAAGCCAACTGGAACTGTGCCCATTGTCTTGTCAAGGATTTTTTGTTTTCTTACACAGGGAGAAGAAGTGAAAATGAAGCTGGGCAAAGTGGAGTTTTGCCATTTTTTGCAGATAATAGCTCTTTTCCTCTGTCTTTCTGGGATGAGTCAAACAGAACTTCCAAGGTCCAAATCAAAGCCCTATTTCCAGTCTGGGAGATCACGAACCAAGCGCAGTTGGGTGTGGAATCAGTTCTTTGTGCTAGAGGAGTACATGGGAACCGATCCTCTCTATGTAGGTTAGGTAGGAAACTTTGTATGGTGTTGTTCTGTTTGATGGGAATGGTTAAGATGTGATAGTGAATTGCATTTGAGTTAGACTAAGCTGTTATTAAAGACTTATTTCAACTCAGGTCTGAGCACCCTGACGTAAGGTAAAGGTTCCCCTTGACAATTTTTGTCCAATCGTGTTCGACTCTAGGGAGCGGTGCTCATCCCCGTTTCCAAGCCATAGAGCCAGCGTTTTGTCCGAAGACAATCTTCCATGGTCACATGGCCAGTGCGACTTAGACACGGAATGCTGTTACCTTCCCACCAAGGTGGTCCCTATTAATCTACTTGCATTTGCATGCTTTCGAACCGCTATGTTGGTGGGAGCTGGGACAAGCGACGGGCGCTCACTCTGTCGCGTGGATTCGATCTTATGACTGCTGGTCCTCTGACTCTGCAGCACAGGCTTCTGTGGTTTAGCCCACAGCACCACCACATCCCTTTTACCCTGACGTAAAAGTATATTCAATTCATCTCAGCAGATTCAAGACTTCTGGTACAAATATCTTGAGTGGAGTGGCTGTTGGAACTCTTTGATTTCTATCACACTCATAGGAATATGTATAAAGCAGAGGCAGATAAGTAGTGGACCTTCCAGTGTTGTTGGACTACAAGGTTGATTAGAAGTTTCATTTAATTTCTTTTACATTATATTATGCTATCTTAATTTTATATTGTGTATTCTGCAAAGGCCTGTGTGCTATGTAATAAACTGAATGTGTTCATTTGACTACAGATCCCATCAGCTTTAGCCATCATAGCCAATATTGTGGACAGATGGGACTTTCAGTTCAGCAACATCTGGAGGCCATGCCTTTCTGGTTTCTTGGTATAAGATTTTCTGCCCCACATTGAGCAAATAAAAATGTACATAGAAGGCTTTTAAATTTTGATAAATTTGACAAAAGCCATGTCTGCAGCCCTCATACTCCCCAAAGCCATTGTAGAACATTTTCCCATGTATTACTCTTCAGTCCCTTTGCTTGATTATTTCTGGTGCTTTGTACTAATCTTCTGTTGATCGTGGGGCCACCAATACAGCTAGATTTCAACTTCCTTTATCACCAGTTATTATCAGTGTTCAGGGATGATGGCATTATTAGTCCAACAACATCTGGAGATTCCAGGTTGGAGCCAGAGCTCTGAAACTTTTGCACAGTTCTCTTGGGAATTGATACTGAATTAAGCAAGCTGTCTATCACCTATGAGAAAGAGGAAGAATGGTGGTAACTCCTCCTCTCAGAAGGAGTTTATGACATCATCCAGGAGAGTTTTCTCTACACTGAAGAATCAGCCAAGAGCTTAGCAACTTTGGGGAGAAGCATTCCCCCGCAGCCAAGCTACTTCCATGTTTGCCACGATGATGATGATGATGACAAAAGCCATGGGTGCTGCAAGGCGACCAATGAGTGGGCTGGCCAGTTCAGGGAGGGGAGAGACTAGATGTATGTGGTACCTGTGATGCCGGTATTCATATTCGTAACCCCACGGATATGGAAACAAATATCTCATGTCTACAGTAGTAGGAATCAACTTTTAGTTTGAATAAGGAATTAAATATTTAGTTCCGGAGTTCATTTGGCTGATCATGCATGCATTGACAATGATTAGGAAGGGGTAGGTGACTTGGAAGCCAAGTAACTGCAAAAGATTGTTATTATTATAGAGAATGCCGGCTGAAAATGTATTACTTTGTGCTTTTTGTACTTCAGCAGGGATTGTTTGGCATACAAATAATAATACACAGAACTCTTAAATTCTGTGCATGTGGGTTTGAAGCTGCAGAAGAATATCATGTGCTGTTATACTATTTAAGAAATACTGCTATGGAAATCTGTATAGAAATACTTGTGCAGAGGAAGACAAAGTTAAAGATGTGCATGCAGCCAAAATATAGGAATTTCCATATTTTCTTTAACAACTTAACCATGCAACCCTAATGGTCTTTAATTTAGTTTCCTTGGACTGAATGCTGATCAGAATTCTCTAGAAGCAATGAGTATGGCATTTCAACACCTTCCAATATTATATAGTATTAAGCTTCAAATTAGGAATTTATGATCCCCTTCTCTTTATTTTTTATTTTTATTTGTTGGTTCTGAGCATATATCTGCATCCAGAGCCTAAGCAGGAGCTTAGGGGGACAGCTGGAAGAATTTGACAGCTGAAGAGCAAGTTTTCCTTTTGCAGCTTTTTGTTGCAAGTCTAACTCATAAATAATAATATTTGACTAAACAGCACTAAGTGACATGACAGTGACACAATTCTTATATTTTCATATGCAGCATTTGAAAGTAGTCTTTGTAGGATGAAATCAGATTATTGTGAACCGTTTAAAAGTGCACTTTTGCTACACCTTTTCCTGTTCTAATACTAGCTGTTGAAAGCATTTTTGGAGCTCAACATCCAGAAAATGATATTTGTTCATATGGTGCAACTTTATGTAAGGTGTTTACTACTCCCACCCTTCCAATCAAAATTAAGTGTCATCTAAAGGTTAAGTGTAGTTCATTTTTCTCCTTTACTTTGCTTTCAAATGCTTTTTCTTCCCAAGATCTTGTCAGAATGCTCATCAAGACTGTGGTTCAGATATTCATTACCTTGCCCCCTTCATCTTTCACAGTTCTAACATGCTTTCTGGCCTGTGACAATGCAATATGCTCTAAGTCATTACCTTCCCCAGAAGGCTTATGGTGTGTCCTTTGATTGTGGCTGTACATCCTGTTCATGCTTGCTTTACTATTGTAACTGTATTCTGTAGCTTTTCTTCAGTGACAGACTGACAAAAGACAGTGATACGGGAATGTGGAAGGTGAGGTGATAATGTTTGAAGGTAATTCATCCAGCTGCCTGTTTCTGTTTATTTGGCTGCTTATCTTTTACATTGTGAGAAGTGTAACCCATTGAGTGCGTTATTAAAGGAAACTGATTATACCTGCACCCAATGTATGGGGAAAATATGCACTCTTTTCATAGGCACTTCTGCATCTCTGTAAGTGTACATAGTGACTTACCTTGAGGACAAAACCTTTATTTTTATGAAGTCTTTGAAAAAACGTACCTTCTAGTATTTATAATTTTAAGCATCTGCTAAACCAGCAACATTTTCCAAAAATGAACTTCAGAGTAAGATTTTCTCTCTCGCTCGCTTTTATACACACACACACACATGAGTACAGTATTAACCAACCTTAAATAAACAATAAACAGCAATATCCTAAAACTGATGGGAATAAAACGGTAACAGTGGTTATGCAGACAGACTAAGGTATGCTGCAATGAGAAAGACTTTAAGCAAATAGTAGAGCATGAAAGTCACAATTCAGTAAGGAACCAGGTGAAAGTGAGAAGATAGAAAAAACATGTAATATGATACTCCTGTGGCATATGTCCAACTACAGAACCTTCAGACACACCAGTGATACCTAGTGGATGTACAAAAAGTCTATTTTGTATTGACCATTGGCTAATGCATCCAATTTGCAACTGGTTACATGACCATAGGGTATATTTTCCAGATGTGTATACTGACCATCCAGTATCTATATCCAGTATATGTTCCAGTGTTTGGAGGCAGGTCCTTTGAAGGCAACCAGGGAAGGCCTTTTTTAGAATTTGCCACTAAATAATCAGTGACTTTAAGACTTGAACAGTAAGATCTGCTTCCTAGAAACTGATTGGAAAACACAGTTATATAGTGAGGTTCCTCACAATTTCAGCTTTTCAATAAGGAAGAAAGTATAACCTTCCTATATACTTCCTTGAATAACAAAAGTACAACATTCAGGACATTATGGTACCTTGATTTTTCTGTGCAGGATATTCAGCTGTTTTCTTGAGTAAATTGGTTAGAGATGGTCAAGGATCTTATTTTATACACATTTTAAAGCAATTCAAACAGTTTTGAGTCTGATAAACACCGGGATCAGAATGGATGTAACTTTGGCTCTGGCTTGTCCTGTTTTAATGGGTACTTTTCAGTTGGTGCAGCCTGATGATGTGGGCAGGATTCTTGGAGAGGTGAATGCCACCACATGTGTGCTGGACGCTTGCCCTTCCTGGCTCATAAAAGCAGCCAGAGGAGAATGGCCGATTGGGTACACGGAGTGGTAAATGCCTCCTTGCAGCAGGATAGGATCCCAGCTTGCTTAAAAGAGGCAGTGATAAGACTGCTATTGAAGAAGCCCTCCATGGGTCCCAGTGAACTGGATAACTACTTGCTAGTCTCAAACATCCCATTCCTGGGCCAGCTACTGAAGCGTGTGGTGGTTTCTGAGCTCCAGGGATTCCTGGATGAAGTGGATTATCTAGACCCATTTCAATCTGGTTTCAGGCCTGACTATGGGACAGAGGCAGCTTTGGTTGCCTGGGTGGATGACCTAGTCCAGGAACTGGACAGGGGGAGTGTGTCCCTGTTGGTTCTGCTGGACCTCTCAGTGGCTTTCAGTATCATCAACCATTGTATCCTTCTGGGCTGTCTCTTTGGAATGGGACTTGGAGGCACTGTTTTACAGTGGCTAGAGTCTTTCCTGGAGGGAGAACTCAGAAAGTGGTGCTGGGTGGCTCCTGCTCAACGCCCTGGCCGTTGGCCTGTGGCATTCCTCAGAGTTCTGCTTTTTCACCCATGTTTTTTAACATCTACATGAAATCGCTGGGAGAGGTTGTCTGGAGTTTTGGAATTCGGTGTCACCAGGATGCGGATGACACCCAACTCTATCTCTCATTTCCACCTAATTCCAGGGAAGTTGTCTTGACTCTAAACCAGTGCCTGGCATCAGTAATGGTCTGGATGAGGGCAAACAAACTGAAATTTAATTCAGACAAAACAAGAGGTGTTCCTGGTTAGTCTGAAGGCAGATGAGGGAATAAAGCTACCGGTGCTGGATGGGGTTACACTCCCCCTGAAAACTTAGGTCTGCAGCTTGGGTGTACTCCTGGATTCATCCCTAAGCTTGGATGCCCAGGTCTTGGTGG